ACACACAAAATTATCTCAAAATAACTGTCTCGGCAAGTATTCTCGTAAACAAAGTCAGTTATGTCTTAGGTGAACCTAAACAGTGGAGAGAGAAATCTCAAGTGCATCATTATATTGGATCCGTGCATTCGGTCTTAAAGGGGCAGCAGCCTATAAATACCTGCTGTTCCATAAGCGCCACCTGCTGTCAGAGAGAGACATTTGCATCTCATTCTCAAAGCTAAAATCAAACCATTCGGTTTTTGCTTCAAATTTCGAAATTATAAAATCTAATTGCAATCTAAATAACATGTATTTAGCATCTTTGTTTGGATCGTGATTAAAATGCTGTGGTTGCCTCTGATTTTAAATGGAAAAAGCACAGCCAAAGCATTAGTTTGTTTATATGAAGATATTTCTTTTATTTGTATTATTTAATTATTTGATTTGATTTGGGATTTGGTTTAAAATTTCAAGTTAGTTTTATTATTTGACATATTTCAATTTCACAAAGAAATGTGCAGCATTTTGTTGGAGAAATAATAAAAGGACACCTTTTCATTTATAATTTGTCTTAAATCTCATTTTGTTAAAAAGAAAAATTGTGAGAAAATTGTATTGTGAAATTAGTATTGTGAATCGCATCGCATTGTGATTGGAGTGAATCATTACATCCCTATATGCTACTAGTTTTTGCTGTGGTTGAAGAATGTCTGCCCAAAGGGCTACCAGCGATTTTGAAATTTTGCGAGCCCTGAACATACATTATTCTGGTGTTGAAATAAGAAGACTGATCCTCACATGAATATGTCAAATGTTTTGGTTTAAATATAACATTTGTCTTGTAAAGTCTGAAAAAATTCTGAGATTTAAAGCTAATTGTCAGCAAACTCCACTTTTGAAATGGCTCATTGTTCTCATTCTTTTTGATGTATTTCACTACATCTCTTATTCTCTCTCTTTTTGCTCAGTGCACTATCAGAAGATCGTTCACAGAGATGTCAAACCATCTAATTTATTACTTGGAGATGACGGCCATGTTAAGATCGCAGATTTTGGGGTTAGTAACCAGTTCGAGGGTAATGATGCCTTGCTCTCCAGCACTGCTGGTACTCCTGCCTTCATGGCCCCAGAGACGCTGTCGGACAACCGCAAGAACTTTAGTGGAAAGGTAATGTGTGTCTGGGGTGATTTTGCTAATGTGTGTTGTGATAGGCCAATCATTCAGACTGATTAAGCTTTATAAAATGGCTTAAAGGGATAGTTCACCCAAAAAAGAAAATTCTGTCATTCAGGAACGCAAATTCGGAACACAAATTAAGATATTTTTGATGAAATCTGAGAGCTTTCTGACCCTCCATAGACAGCAATGCAACTGAAATGTTCCTAGGCCCAGAAACCTAGAAAGTACATTGTTAAAATAGTCCTTATGACGTCAGTGGTTCAACCGTAATTTTATGAAGCTACTTTTTGTGTGCAAAGAAAACAAAAATAACTTTATTCAACAATTCTTCACTTCCATGTCAGTCCATGACGCATGCATGTGGTGCTTCTGACACAGGAGCCGACGTTCTGAACACTTGTTTACAAGCAGAGGAATGCACACAAAAAGTATTCTCATAGCTTCATAAAATTGCAATTGAACCACTGATGTCACATTGACTATTTTAATGATGTCCTAACTATTTTAACAATGTCTTTACTACCTTTCTGGGCCTGTGAACGTTTCAGTTTCATTGCTGTCTATGGAGGGTCAGAAAGACACAAGGGTAAGTAATTAATTACAGATTTTTCATTTTTGGGTGAACTATCCCTTTAAATAAACACTTTGTTTTTGAATGGGACTTTGCTATTTCTCTCATGAACGTGTCATAGAGCTACACTGCCATTCCAAAGTTTGGGGTGCAGAAGACTTTTAAAAAGTCTTCTATGCCGACTAAGGCTGCATTTATTTGATCAAAATACATTTAAAACTGTAATATTGTGAAATATTGCAATTTAAAATAACTGATTTCTATTTAAACATTTTTAAATCAATTTATTTGATGGCAAAGCTGAATTTTTCAGTGTCACTTGATTCTTCAGAAGTCATTTTGATATGTTGATTTGGTGCTCATGAAACATTTCCTATTATTAGCAATGTTGAAAACATTTTTCAGGGTGTTTTGATAAAAAGAAGTGCATTTATTTAAAATATTTTTTTTAAAATAAGCTTTTTAAAAATCCTTTGCTGTCACTTTTGATCATTTTAATGTGTATTTGCTGAATTAAAATATTACTTTCTTTAAAAAACAAAATGTATGAACCCCTCACTTTTGAGCAGAAAGGAAATTTTGGGTGAACTGTCCCTTTAAGGAATTCTGTTCATCTCAATATCTCAAAAGTGTAGAAATCTCCTGCATCACTAAAGCAGAAGTTGTGTTTTTTTTCAGGCTCTGGATGTGTGGGCTATGGGAGTGACCCTCTACTGTTTTGTGTATGGGAAGGTGAGTCGGCTCATGTGTTGATATGATCAGAGTGATAGCAGTAATTCTTCATTGTGGGATTATCTATCAGAATGATCAATGGATGGGGCAGTGTGCTACTGCAGTGACATTTGTGATGGATGATTTTGATCACTCATCCGTCTCCCTCCTCTCTCTCTCTCCTACTATGTTTTTCTTCCTTGTCCTCCAGTGCCCATTTATTGATGAGTACATACTGGCACTTCACAATAAGATCAAGAGTAAGCCGGTGGAGTTCTCCCAAGACATAGTATCTGTAATTCTGAAGTACAGTGAATATCCATACTGGTGCGTTGACTGACAGCCCACACATACTCCTCAAAACATTAGATTAATTCGCTCTGAGGAGCCATGCGGATGCACAACCCAAGTAAAGAAGATAATTCCACAAATAACTGCAATTGCAGGTTTCAAACTGAGATGGCGACAAAGAGGCAAAACTTACAGACTGCAGCTTTAATTAAGGTGGAGTTCTCCGAGATGTAAGTCGCCCCTCGCTGTTTACGACGCATCTGCTGTCTCTCAGGAACAAAGACAGAGAGTGGAAATGTCAGAGATGTTTGAGTGTATGGCAATGTGAGCTAAATGCAGTATTGATGCATGTTGGTTTAGTATGATATGTGACCCTGGACCACAAAACCAGTCTTAAGTCGCTGGGGTATATTTGTAGCAATAGCCAAAAATACATTGTATGGGTCAAAATGATTGATTTTTCTTTTATACCAAAAATCATTAGGATATTAAGTAAAGATCATGTGTTTTTTAAAGCATACACCTCACTAAATTTTAAATCTTTGCTTAAAACAAGAAAATAAATTAGGGGAATGGGGAAAAAGATATATATTCAACAGAGTCCGCCTAATTCAAGTGATAACATATGAATCCATCTTGTTTTAAGGATGTTTAGATAGTTGTACCAGGAAAAAAGACAACAATACTCTGCCCTTCTGTACTGGTTTTTGTACTTTACTGTACAATTCCATTTTATTCTACTGTTCTCTATGCTACGTTATAACAGCATTAAAGATATCCGTCCGTCCTCCTCTTGTTACAGAAGCTGTGTGATAGTCAGTGTGTGTTTGAAACAGTGTTTCTATGTCTGCAGTGTGTCACCTCTTGTAAAAGCGTGCTGTCATTGTTTAGCTGTGCAGTCAGATGTTTTGGTTTTGTTTTACTGCTTCAGCTGCTTCAGCTATGTTTCTGTGATATCTCAGGCCAGCTATCAGTGAGGGGCTGAAGAACCTGGTCTCACGAATCTCACGAATAAACCCAGACACCAGGATCACCATTCCTGAGATCAAAGTAAGTCTACATAAGACACAAAAGGAGCACTTTAGAAATTGAGAGAGGCAAGTAATCCCTTTCACCATCTTCACAGATCTGTATTGCAAAATACTGAGTTTCAAAGATTCACTTAGGAGTTCTTCTATTTAAATTAAAATGAATGTCCACATTTGACTTTTTGATTTGGATGGTATTAATTAATGTGTTTTTCCTTAAGAAATCACCTAAATTTACCTTTATGCATACCAGAGAGATTGAATGCAACATCACTTAATATTGAAATTATAGTCAGTATCTCAAAAAGAAATGTCCAAAGAACATTCCCGAGAGTGTCTCATTAGTCTGCACTCTCAAAGTAGCAGTGCTTCTATCAAAGACCGTTCCTGAGCCACATCCAGGGATAGTGTTAAAATATGACACAGTATCTCTGATAGCTTCTGCACCATCTAGCAGAGTTGGTGTTTTGGCTGGAACACATCAGCTAATCCCCAGGGACAGAGATTTTGGTTCAGTTCTGGAAACTTCCATCTGCTGTCTCAGTGTGAGAGAGAGTGTGAATAATTAGCACACACACATTCGGCCATCAGAGACTCCTGCCTGTATGTCATTACACAGAAAATGTTCCATTAAAGCAGCGATCCCCAGAGCACACGTTAATCAGAGCTGCACGGCCTACATTCACTCAACAGCTCTACTCTTATATCCTTCAGACTAACTTTGTTTTTAGGACAAATATTTTATTTCTTTAATGATTTTCTGGTTGGATGGGTGAATAGACGAATGGATATATGGAACAATCTACAGATATTTGAATGGATGGATAAATGAAAGGAGTGATGGATGAGCAGATGAATGGAATGGAAGGATAGAAGGTTAGATGGATGGACTAATGAATGGACAAATGGATGGACGGATGGATGGATGGATGGATGGATGGAT